GTTTTGATAGATTTGGGGAAAAGTTTAATAATTGAAGCAAGTAAAAAAAAAACAGTTAAGCATATTGCACACATTAAAAAATATTATAAATTATTACATTTGCTAACTCTTCACTAATTAAAAAAGTCCTGAAGTCCTGTTTATTTATTTATTTATTTTTTATTTGTTAGCTTTCTTGGAGGGGATGGGAAGAGGTAATTATATTATTAGTAATTATATTGATTTATTTAATTTTTTAACTCATACATAAAGCATATTTATAGCAAATGAATGGAAAAAAACTACATTTGAATTTTATCCTAAAATCTAAAAATTTAAAAAAATGGGATTCGTGGATAAATTAGAAAATCTTGAGTGTATTCTATAAAGAATTTCCCCCTTCTTTACTGCATTTCTTCATGGTGTAATTGGCAGTATGTCCATCTAATAGTCAGAAGATCTAAAGTTCTAATCCCAGTTAAGTGACTGTGGATTTTTTACTGTTCCCACTTAAAAAAATTTTTTTAATTGCCCTGTATGTTTTACCAGAGTTAAAATGTAGTGAATAATAATTCATCACCATTAGTATTTGGCACCTGGGTCCCCACCTCCCCAGTCACCCTTTAAATGGGAAGAATTAAGTAAGTAAGGAATTTTCTCCTTCCTTGCCATGAGTCATCGCGATATCATTGGAAGCATTTCTGGCTACCATCAGCAAGTCCAGAGTTTGAATCTCTGCAGCAGCATTACTGATTTTTCATTTACTACAATTTCCTGCTCTGATAAATTTTTAATGAATCTCCAACCTTAGGGTAAAAATTTTCAGCAACAGGCTATTGTCAACCCACAATTCTTGACATAGGTGATTTTTCCTTTAAGTTTTCAGTGACATTAAAAATTTTTTTCTCAGAAAGGAGACTGTCAGTGCTGTTTTAACTGTTATTTGAAATATGGAGAGTTTTACCAGATAGGTCAAAAGGTGCATAAAAAATAAATGTGTTTGCAGCTTCTCTTAATTTCAAATCAATTTTGAACAGAAATTCCTTTTTTTAAAAATATGAAATCATGTACAACAAAATTATTCATCTCTTATTAGATTTATTATGTATCAAAATATTCAAATGAATTTTTTTTAAGAATAGTTTAATTACGGATTTAAAATCTGTCTTTATTAAAAGCTCAGCATAAAAACATTAAAAAAAACCCTGTTCAATAAAATTATTATATTACTTTACTATTCCTCCCCAGCCTTTTTAGTATTAGCTTCTGAAAATATTTAAAATATTTTCATACAACAAAATTTCTATAAAAATGTCTTATTAGATATAGCAATGTAGAAAGGAAGGGAAGCAGAAAGAAAGTTATTATTATTTATGAGAAAGATAGGATGCCATCTGACTTAATGAAAGAGCAGCTTAAAATTTTATGGAACTGTCAGTTTCTGCAGCCATCTCAGAAAAGTTGTAAAAAAAAAAAAAAAAAAAAAAAAAAAAAAAAAAGAGCGCAGAGAGAGAAGAGAGAGAGAGAGAGCTAAACAAACACTGTTTCTGACATTATTCCGGGGGAACTTACACCACTTCTACAACAACTGGATAGCCATTCAAAGAATATTTATATAACCTGCATCACAAAATGATGAACACCTGCTGATAACCACTCATTACAAGTTTTATAAAAAGTGGATATCAAGAAGGTCACAAAATTTTACCAGAATCAGAAAATCCTGAGACAATCCACTGAACTAATCCTGATTGCTCATGTTTTTTGGGTTGTGATTGAGAAAGCAACACTAGTGAAAAGCTTAAAAAAAAGGATATCTAATGCTTTTGACGGTTCTGAAAATATTACACATGGAAACACTGACTTAAAGATGACAATGAATATGGTGATGACTTGCAAGCTGTAGCAGATGATGGAGACAGCAATACCAGCAACACTGAATTATTTGAGGCCTAGTGACTAGCACTGGACAATAAAAGGAACAAGCAAGATTCAAATTACAAGGAAATAGAAATGAAAATATCTTATTAGCTATTGTAATGTAGAAAGGAAACGAATAGAGAACAGGACAGTAGAAAGGAAATTATTTTATTAGATAATTACTATGCCCTTTTCCAATGGCGGGCACTTGCCTATAACAGCACTAGCCACTACTAAGGCCAAAAGTGCTGGTCATTTTATTGTGGAGGCACCTAATAGGTGGCCACTGTTACATCCTATGAAATGACAGACAATTTTACATCCATGCCTTCTCTCAGATTCGCACCCGGGCCCTTTGGTATCACAGTCAGGCTCTCCTAACCACTATACCATCTGGGCGGCAGATATTACTATGTATTCTGCTGCCCAGACAGTACAGTGATTAGGGGAGCTGACTACAATACTGAAGGGTCCGGGTTCGAATCCCATAGATGGCATGGATGTAAATTGTCTGTCCTCTCATAGGAGGTAAAGGTGGCCACCTATTAGGTGCCTCCAGAATAAAATGGCCACCACTTTTGGCCTTAGGGAGTGGCTAATGCTAAAAAGGCAAGTGCCTGCCGTAAAAAAACACCTATGTATTCTAATTGGAATGTAGAGTTCTTTTGGCCTTAGTGGCTAATGCTAAAAAGGCAAGTGCCTGCCATAAAAAAACACCTATGTATTCTAATTGGAATTTAGAGTTCTTTTAAAGAAATAATATTGTAATAGTTACTACTAGGTTACCCATGACTACTTTTCATTTGTGATGTTTTTACTGGAACCGTGCCCCTTGCCAATTAAATTACTAGCATAATTTTCTCCTCTCGAATTTTGGATAAAAATATGTTAAAAAAAAAGGAGAAAAACATGCAAGGAATTATGGTATAACCTTTTGATGTAATAGCTCTTAACCACTATAAGCAACAAAATGTCTTAAGTTGGTAAATATTTACAATGTCTGCAGCATGAAGAAAAGTGACTAAATAAATTTGTTAACTGTCAAAAAAATTATTCTTAGCTCTTAGCAAAGGTTTGATCAGAGGAAAGCAAGGAACAAAAAAATAAATATTTAAAAAATTTAATTAGAATGCAAAATTATCTGTATTAAACAACTGAAACTTACTTTATTTGCCCTGTCTGTTAGTATAATCTAAATAGAAAGATGATTTAGGGTAAGGGTTCCCAAAGGGGCTGCTGATGATCAACGGGTCGAATGGAGATCGATAAACAAATATGCACTGGAGTTAAAAAAACATAGTCAAGATCCCATTGGTTACAAAAAAAAATTAATTATAAAATTGATAATTGATTGCTGATTTAAATCTGTAGCATGTAGTGAGGAAGAAATAATATAAAATAAAGGGAAAGTATGCCCACTGCTCCTCCCTGGCTTACAGCTAAAAACAAGTCATGAAAAATTTAAATAAGAATATACTACATTACAAATAAATACAAATATAATGGAAATACACTCCATTTATGAAAAGTTCTATATATATTGCAAAAAATAAAATAGTAAAATTAATCATATAACAAAATTCAAAAACAAAGAACATTACTAAAATCTCATTATTTTTATTACAATGCAATTTAATAATATTACCCAAAGCTGTGTAAAATATATCATATTCTGTTATTTTAAATTTCCACAATATGTCATTTTAATTTTTTATTAAAGATTTCTATATTTTTATTATTTTATGAGGTATTTTAATTATTACCTGTAATTTGAAAATTTGCTGAAAACTGAAGCTAGTATTTTAATATTATTGAATAAACTGAATACAGTCAAAAGTCGTTAATTCCGACACCCATAATCCGGAATGATCTATAATCCGGACCTAAAAGCTACAAACTTTCTGCGCATGCGTCAACTCGACGCATGCGCGTAAGACCATTACCGCTATGAATTTGCGTGTGCACGTGCGCAAAATACGTTTACGAATGCGCGTTTAATGTATAACGGACGGGATAAGCTAAGCTAAAATGATCTAATTATCTATTTCAGTTAATGTTGCAGATTGCGTTGTTCCTTAATCTTTGAATTGGATCCGGATTATTATTTTTTGCAGACTGTTAGAGCAATTTTATAAAAGTAAGCTTGAACTTTCGATTATGTCAAATTATGTAAAGGATATACAAAGCGAAAGTATCTTTCGGAGTCCATTAAACAAAAGTGGAATTGCTGCAAAAAATGGATAAAGGCATATCCTTTGTTTATCTAAACTTTGTTTATCTTTAACGCTGGGGTAGTGTGCAATGAATTGGAAGTTGATCTGTCAGCACTATCCTTATCTTAAGGGCAGATGTTTTTATTTTATTTGGCTTATAATTGCTTACTCAATGTAGTATTTCATATCGATGTACTCCACCTTTGATATGATTTAAATCAAATGCCTCGTCATTATAATTCACTTCCGATAGCGAAGAAAGTAACAGAGGTTATTGAAACGAAAAATTTCGATTGACAAATTAGTCGGTATTCTCGACACAGCAATTATAAACAGCGGAACTTTGTAACTGAACAGAACATTATGTCTGTTTATAGAATTAAAGAGAATGTATTATCACATAAAAAAACGAAGCAAACTTAAACAACCTTACATTAAAAGAAATGTTTAATAAAGTAAACAATATAATATTAGCTTTTTTTGTAACCTTTTTGATACCCATTTTAGATCATAATTGCTCTTTATTTTCATATTATGGTTCATATTTTAATTTTATTTATTCTGCATGCCATTTTACCAGATTTAAACTGATGATCTATAATCCGGAAAAATCGATAATACGGAATCGCCGAAGTCCCAACGAGTCCGGATTAACGACTTTTGACTGTAGTATAGAATAAAACTCCAAATTCAAGTTTAGTGATAGTATTTCATTATTTTTAAACAGATTAGTTATTCAAGATTACTGGAATTCACAAATATCAAAGCAGACAAGAAACTTAGCAGCACTGCTTTTCCTTGCATTGTCTTTCAATTAATAATTATTCTTCAGAATGAAAGCATAATTTGCAATGTAGGTTATGATAGGGACAACACACTCAATCTTACTTTCTCTGCTTCCTTAGTATCATCAAACAGTCTTTTTTGCCTTCTTGCTGGAACTGGTCGTGCACTTTCCCAGGCTTCTAACCACATATTTCCCGGAAGAAGCATACGTTGACTCAAGTGATCTAAAAAGTAATAATAATTTTGTTTCATACAGAGATTTTCAAAGCTACCTTTATATAATAATGCTTCAAATGACACTAAAGAACAAAAGATGAGAACTATACACAAATATATCCCATGATGGTTAAAAATGTCCAATTATTTAACTACATCTTATAAAAAATGTAATGCAGAAATATCAAATGGCAGATTATCATAAACCAAACAAAAAAGGCTGAACTTGATTTAACTTAAACAATAAAAAGGAATACAGTATAACTGATATCAAAAAGCACAAGAGAAGGCTACTTGCTTAAACTATTTTCCATCTTTAATTCCCAGTAAACAAGAAAGCAGAATATCAGAATTTTTAAAACTTTTCCTATAAAGCCAATTACTCAAAAACACTTCACTTCTAGACGGAAGATCCCCATTCTATAAAGACTATCAAAAACGTCTATGCTTAAACCACGATTCAAGCACAAATTTAATGGCAATAAGTTTCCTCTAATCAGCACATCATCCAGGGTGGCAATAAAATCAGAATGCAGATGATATGATAGGAAGCAAATAGTAGATGTAGAATTTAATGGTAAAATGTAAGAGTTAAAATAACTTTTAGACTACAAACACTAAACTAAACTAAAAAAAGACTCACATTTTGTAACTTTTTTTCCAGTCTCTTCATCAGTAACTTCTTCTTCTATCAGATCTCGAGGAGAATACCACCTTACAAAATCTTCTAATACAGATTTAGGATTTGCAGCCTGTGAAAGATTCCAATTTCAAATTGTAAAAGAAAATTTAGAAAAAATTGTTGGACCAAAATCTTGAAAGCAAATCATAATAATGCACAGTGAAGAGAATATATATGAAGAAATATGAACATGCATTTTAATTTTCATAAATGCAATAAATATGAAGTTTAAAGAATTTTAAAAAATTCATTTTTAAAATAAATATTTTAATAGGTTGTGACAGAATGTGAGCTCTGTTTGCTAACCATTGTCTTGTGGCATCATTTGGATAAGGATGGAAAGCATGGTGCCACAAAGTGTCTAAGTGTGCCTGGCATCAGTAAATGACCTTGAGAATCAAATTAAGGTTTGTTAGACAGAAGTCAAAGATTGCACCAAAAGTACATAAAAGCATTCACTGATGATATGTTGATATGTTTCCTAGTCCCTTTTGCAGATTGGTCACAGAGGTATATAAAACTGTTTAATATTAATTGATAATATCAGTAATATAATATCAGTAAATGACCTTGAGAATCAAATTAAGGTTTGTTAGACAGAAGTCAAAGATTGCACCAAAAGTACATAAAAGCATTCACTGATGATATGTTGATATGTTTCCTAGTCCCTTTTGCAGATTGGTCACAGAGGTATATAAAACTGTTTAATATTAATTGATAATATCCTTTAGTAAGATAAAATAACACGCTGAACAATTATTAATTTAGAAGTCAAACAACAAAAATCAGCGTTATACAGGGTGCGACAACATTCATAGCGTAATTTGACTTGTGTAGTACAATGATGTACTGCATGAATGCGGATCAGCTCGTGCCGCATTCATGTACTAATGATCTGCCATTTCGAGTATGACAGTGAATTGGATTGGTGGAGTGCACAGCATCGTGCCTTTGCTGTTGAAAGTTATTTCAAGAATAACTACTCTGTTATTGCCACCCAGCATCTATTTCGGCAACATTTCAACTTGGGACTTCTTAATTTTAATTTTTTTTTTTTTTTTTTTACTCCTTCACTAGATTGTGCCATTTTCAATTACAATTAACTCTTGGATTTTAGCACCATAAAACAAAAACCAGTTGTCAATAGTTCAATTTAATAAAGAGATATTCTTACCTGGATATTCTGAGTTTTTCAAGAGAGTAAGTAATTGAAACTGATTTAAATGTTAATCCTTTATTTGACAAAATATAAAGAAAGACACACACGATTCTACAATGATATACTACATTTACTCGCTACAGCAGAACACTAATTCTAATTAGTTTATAGCATACTAGCGATATCTACTAATCTAGATATCGCAAAAGAATTTTAGATTCCTCACAATGAACATATAAAACAGTTTTTTTAGGTTTCTTGAAATTGATAAAAGAGATACAAAATGCAGTAAAATATGCAATGGTCATTCGACATATGGACTAAAAACTGATAAGTAAAAACAATTCAACAAATGAAAGATTAATTAATAAATTAATATTCCGCTATATAATAAGCACCATTCGCATCAGTTCTCTGAAAAATTATTCTGTAACAAACGCTTTCTACGAGCGGAAGAATAACAACTAAAAAACAATGCTTTAACGCAATCTGGACATTTGTATTGCATTGAGGTTAACAAAGCTTTTTGGTAACCTCAATGTAATTCATTTTTATGGTCCAGATTCCTCCAGATATTAATCTCATATAATTAAGAAATGATTTTTATTATCAGTTACCTATTCATTATAAATTTATTCATCATAAACACTTCTCAGATCCTGCAACTGATGCTGGTAAAGAATCTTCGCCGACGACATTCCAAACATAAGTGTCAACTATATACAGGGTGCGGAAACGTTCATAGTGTAATTTGATTTACGTAGCACAATGACGTACTGCATGAATGCGTGCCAGCTCGTGCCGCACTCATGTACTAATGAGCTGCCATCTCGAGTGTGACAATGATATGGATCGTTGGAGTGCAGAGCATCGTGCTTTTGCTGTTGAAAGTTATTTCAAAGAATAATTACTCTGTTATTGCTACCCAGCACGTCTATTTCAGCAGCATTTCAAATTGGGATGTTATGAGAAAGTTCCAGATGAACGAACCATTGCAACAGACATTTCCAAGTAGAGCAATTTTCTGTTTTTTTGACATTTCCTGGGCCGCCTCGCTCACCTGATCTTGTGCAGACTATTTCCTTTGGGGCCACCTGACACAAGAAGTTTTCTGAACACGTTGTGCCACCATTCCTGAGTAGAAGGATCGCATCAGAACTGCCATCGGCAATGTCCCAGGGAATATGTTACATCGAGTTATGGCAAGCTTCCAACGCCGCCTAGATGAATGTGTTTGCAGAGGGGACATCATTTGACAGGCATCATAATCAAAAAGTAATCCACGCAATTGATGAAGACTTACACTTTAGTAAATGGCACACCTTTAACTATGAATTGACATAAGAGGTAATAAATAAATTACAGTTACTGCCTTAAGGTGTTGTTTTTAATATCCTACTATGAATGCTGCCACACCCTGTATTTGCAAATTTTCATAGGACTAGTTTCGATAGTTTTACCGAACCATCATCCTCAGCTGCCATCGTGCAAATGGCAGCTGTTGTTTGATTTCTAAATTAGCTATCATTTATCTTTCTCTTTTCCTTCTTTTTTTTGGGGGGGGGAGAGAATCCAATTATTTTCCACAATAGTTAAGTGTAAATTTTAATACTTAAGAATAAAATAATTTCTCTTTGATTCAATATAACTTTATGAATATATACCATTAATAAATTCTTGCATAAGCACAGCCATAACTGGTGATTAATTATAAAGAACAGATTTTAACTGATGGAACATACAGTTAATCTAAATAAATATTTTATATGATGATTTGTTATTTGCAAATAGAGCACAGGGCATACTTGCTAGTGACTTGTGAATACTATCATACTAGCTCTTCTAGCAGTCTTTTGAATTCTGCCTATCTTCGAGGCTTCTTATAATCCACCATGAGAAATCAGATAAACGGTGATAATGAGGCATTGCCTCAAATGATACTTGTGTTAATTTCTTTTGAACGTTTCCCTCAGTCAACATTTATTAGCAATATTAAATCTGAAACCAATAGCAAAAGTGAAGCACCTTATTCAAGAGAAAACACCTGAAGATAAAAGCATAAGATTTTTTTATAATGAAAAGTAATATTTTGAAAAAAGCTGAAAGAGTTCATTTGAATGTTTATAAATTACAGTAAAATGTCTTTAATTCGGACTCGTCGGGACTTCGGTGATTCCATGCAGAAATTATAAAATTAAAAATATGAAACCATAATTTATGAAATAAAGAACAATTATGATCTAAAGGGTATCAAAATTTACAAAAAAAAAAAAGCTTAATATTTATTTGTTTACTTTATTAAACATTTCTTTCAATGTAAGTTGTTTAAGTTGCTTTTTTTATGTGAAAATACTTTCTTTAATTCTATAAACAGACATAATTTCTTGTTCAGTTACAAAGTTCCGCTGTTCAAGTCCTATAATTGCTGTGTCGAGAATATCGACTAATTTGTCAATCGAAATTTTTTCGTTTTCAATAACCTCTGTGTCACTTTCTTCACTATCGGAAGCGAATTATAATGACGAGGAATTTGATTTAAATCATATCAAAGATGGAGTACATCGAGATGAAATACTACATTTAGTAAGGAATTATAAGCCAAATAAAATAAAAACATCTGCCCTGAAGATAAGGATAGTGCTGACAGATCAACTTCCAGTTCATTGTGCTGCGTCCCCCCCCCCCCCCCGCAGAGCAGCGTGAAATTGATAAACAGATTTCGGAATGGTTAGAGAAACAAAGGATATGCCTTTATCCATTTTTTGCAGCAATTCCACTTTTTTGATGGACATCGAAACATACTTTCGCTTTGTAGATCATTTTGGCAGCTCCAGCACTGGAAATTCTATTTGACATAATCAAAAGTTCAAGCTTACTTTTATAAAATTGCTCTAACAGTCTGTAAAAAATAATAAGCTGGATCCAATTTGAAGATTAAGGAACAACGAAATCTGCAACATTAACTGAAATAGATAATTTTAGCTTAGCTTATACCGTCTGTTATACATTAAACGCGCATGCGTAAACGTATTATGCGCATGCACAAAGGTATTACACGCATGCATCACCGCATTAAATGTTGACGCATGCGCAGAAAGTTTGTAGCTTTGAGGTCCGGATTATAGATCATTCCGGATTAACGACTTTTGACTGTATTACATTAACATTTTCCTATTTATTTAAGCTGCAGTATACAAAGAATCAGATTTAATTAATTAATTTTATAACCCTCTTAGGATTCATGTTTCCTACAGTTCAAAGAATAAATGACAAAATTTATGGCACATGTAATATAAGTAACCTCCACTTAATATGTAGCTAGTTTTGTGAGAATTTCTGTTATACAAAACATAAATAATGATACTGCAAACAAGGTTAAATTAGGTTAACAGAAATACACTGTTTTGTTTTCATGACTATCAAAAATGTATTTATTAAAATATTAACATCTGATAAATGCATAACCAAATATTTATGCTAAATAATTCACATTATTTGTAACCTTAATGAATATAATTGAACAAAACAAAGACTTCCTTATTGGAAAAATAGCTTCTACAAAATCTATATTTCAAAGTTTTCACTTTTTTATTTTATTTAGATTGTTATTTTACTTTTCATTATGGATCATTATAAATTCTGCCATGGGAACATTTATGAACTTTTGAATACTGTGTTTCTTTCAGCAAAAAATTGTACAGCTATAAAATTTTAAAATGATTAGCTAAACACACACTTTCCTATATATTTTTCAAATAAAACAATGAATTTTAGAATTACATGAAATTAACATTAAGTGCTATTTGAATTACATCTGATTTTATCCGATTCCCTCTTAATAATTCTCAGTTATTTTTATAAGCCATATCATCAGAATCTTATTTTATTACTAATTTAGTACTACCTCACAGATTTAATGATTCAATTACACTTAGGATGTAATTAAATGCATTTAAAAAAGAAATGCGTACTTTAAAAGCTTCCATATCAGACATGAGACAAGCACTTTGCATTCTTGCTCGAAGAGCTGCTCCTTCAGCATGAGTTCCCAACTGCACTAAAACTTCTGCTTGCTCCTCTAATAAATCTTCAGTAACTGGAGCAGGTTCCTAAATAAATTCAAAATCTGCATTGGGTTATTAGTGTAATGTATAACTCTAAAATATTTCTTCAAAACTGTCAAAATATGTATTAAAACAGTTTTAAATATTTATAGATTACACAAGTGAAATTGCAACATTTGAAAACATAGAATATTTCACCCCATGCAAAGCTTCACACATACTTTAGTATATGATCTATCAACAACTTCAAGGTTTGGTGTCATCCAGGCCTTGAAGATAGGACACAACCATCAACTTTAACACATCAGAAATATAACAGCGGCTGTGCACATTACGGGTTATAGAATTATAAACTATTATTTAATAATTATTATGAAATTTTCTTATTATTAAATTATTCATATCTTTCAATTAATTATACTGCTGGACATTAAAATTTACTCCAGGAAAGATAACAAATCACAGTCTTATTTAGTATTAGAAAACACAGAATCTTATTTATAATACAGAATAGGAAGATGATATGATTAAATTTGCATGTGGTTTGATACACAGCATGCAGAATTCAGTATACTGCACTGCAACATCTAGCAGCATTAATAATAGCTGTAATCCAAGTGGCCATTCAGTCGAATGGAGCTTGGATGACAGCATGTGGCTTCAACTCTATGCCAGAGGTTCCTTAATCATAAAAGCTGGTGAGTGATGGCTTGCCAGTCTTTTAGCAACCCATGGCCAGATGTTCTCAGTGGGTCAGAAATCTGGAGAATGTGCTAGTCCAGGCAACAATAGAACATCCTCTGTATAGAGGAAGGTCAAGAAAGCAAGGGGAACATGCGACTGTGCATTATCTTGTTGAACGATGGTGTCATACAGGCCTTGAAGATAAGGCATAGCCACACAGCCTTAGCACATCAGAAATGTAACAGCAACTGTCCATTACAGTCTATGTAAATAGGTACATAGCCTGGCTATATAACCTCACAAGACTGCGAGGGCAACATGTTTGCCCTCTCAGGTGTTCTTGGCTTGCAGTTGCTATGATCCTGCATAGTGTTCAGTAAGACCCTCCTGGTCCATTGATTCCATATTCACTTGACACTCATGTGATCCCAACCAACACAAGCAGCAATGTCATGAAATGATAAACTACAGTCCTGATAGCCCGTGATCCTGCCATAGTCAAATTCCAAAATGTACTGGCATGAGTTTCTCCTTCTTAAACGAGGCACAACACACCATTTATACAAACAACATTCAAATGCAGTTCCGAAATAAGAAACCTAGTGTGCGATCTTTATATTTATACACTATGTAGATGGCATTATTCATAGCTGTTTTGTGTGCATGCACTGTAATGCTAATCATTTAATAACTTGGTCAACATAATACCTTTCCCATGTGATGCAGGTAGATTCTGATTGTTTCTTTGGAAATATTCAGAAAATTTAGAACTTATAGAAATAGAAAGTTTACTATTTGTTTTACTACTGTCCTCTATAACCACCTTCAGGGTCTCTTCATCCAACATCTTTCCATTCTTTCATCACAAATGTTCAGATCTCTTGACCTGAACTTCTGAAACCAATACCTGACAGTACATTTATTCACAGTATCCCTTCCAAATGCCTGCCATATTTCAGAACTTGATGTGGTTGTTGGAAGGCTTATCTTAAAGTCACAGAGAAACAACGATGGATGAGCTGCTTTGATATTTCAATTCCTTTTCCAATGTTGAATGAGCTGTGTGCATGCAACATGCTTACAATGGTGCAGTTCAATGATTTTATTAACCCTCTATAGCTTTTCTGAAGTTTGAATCACTTTGTTTCCTCTCTTTGAGCATCTTGTCATATGCGATATAAAAAAAAAGCAAAGATGTTTTTGATTGTCTTGTAACTGTTAAATTTGGCAACTTTTGCATGTTATGGGAGGAAATTAAGTGATGGGGAAGTTCCATTTGGCCATGTAAAGTATTTTCATAACTGATGCATCACTCTGGACAGCATGCACATTCTTTGTTAAAGTGAAGAAAGACATACGACTGCACAATTCTTCATTATTATAATTTCTGATTTTAAATCAAATCAATGACTCGATGCAAAATATATCTTTAGAATAATTATTATGGATTTTATAAGAAGAGTGAGTTAAAAATTAATAATTTTTTCCACTATTTTAAATTTAGAGGCATTGACTGCATGTTCTAATATGATTTCCCTGATTTACATGAATACATGAGTTAAATAAATGAGTGATTTAAGAAAGAATTTACCTGAGTGACTGGAATGTAGAGAGGTTCATCACAATTAAGCAGCTTTATATCTCCAAGCTGCCTTAATCTTCCTTCAGGATGCTTTTTTCCTAAGTAATATAACAAACAGAAATATGCAGAATGTGAAAGCACATACATATAAAAACAGAAAATCTTCCATTTAAAAGTATGTGCATCTCAGTTAAGTATGGAAAAATGCTAATTATCAAATAAAAACTTTCTAAATTGAAATTCAGTGCTTTACATTGTTTGTTAAATTCCATCATCTTTTTTTTTTGGGGGGGGGAACAGAATATGTATATAAATGTGTAAGATAAAAAATATAAAATCAAACTTCTAAATTTAATTGTCTATAACCGCTTTTAAGTTTATTTAATTTGGGAACTTTATCTCTCTGTTTTAGAAATAATGCTATAAATCTAAACTGTGTCATTCGAATTAATCATGCGATTTTACATAACGCTTAATGCATATATCTCTTGCCCAATCAAAATAATTGTAAACCAAAACTTTCACTCCCTCCCTTCTTCCTCTGCATTACTACTGCAACATTCTTTCTCTTCTGGCTTATGCTTTCATCCTGTTAAGACACTTTGCTGCAATCATCTATATTTGCTTCTGTTGCTATAGTATCAAAATTATTCTGGAAATAGGCACAATTGGAGTGCCAAGTGAATTGTGGCCACCACTGTAAATTTAAATAAATATAGAATGTAATTTGCTCGACTGTTTATTCTTCATCAAAATGGATGGACGCTCTCAGCATCAAGTATCAATGTCATCAGTATTTCAGCATATCTACGTCTTAGTGTTCTTACATTCAATGCTTCCAAAATTGTGCTAATATTACATATATATATATATATATTGTTACGTTTTTCCTCTACCTATTCTTTTGACACCAGTTGTTACGTTTTTCCTATTCTTCTGATTCTGACACCAGTTGTTACGTTATTTTCTTCCTTCACGTTCTTGCGGGGTTCGTAGATTTGGAGTGAATAACGACGACACTTGATGAAGTATTGAAACACACTTTATTTAGACAATATTGTCAGGACAGCTCCAAAACACGTTTTTACAGTCGTCGGAGATCTACTATAAACATGTTGAAACAATCAGCGACACAGCCTTCAGGTTATCAGGCTATCACGGTGGAGCCTTCCTGCAAAGCACCCGAGTCTGCTTTCCGGAGTACAGCTCCCGACTCTGCTTGGTCGTTCTCGGAACTCCACGTACTCTCAAGACTCTCCACGCTACAACTTGCGATGCACCCGATGACACACGAGCACAGCTCCTGACTCTTCGGTTCAGTCTTTCCCGGAGCTCAACACGCTCTCTTGACGATGCACTAACCGCGATACACTAACAGACTCCTTCGGTGGACTCGACGACCCACTCGGCACTCGCTGCCCGCCTGTCAACTCGATCGACTACGCAGGGGTTGACTCGCTAGATGAGACACACTCACGCTCGATGAGAGACGCACTTCCTCTCGATGAAGCGCACTCTTGATACTAACCCGACTGCGGATCAGCAAGGTTTATATAGCTTTTGGCTTGTGTTCGGGAACATTCTGGACTAAACCGGTAAGAATTGGTTCCAGAAGGTTCTCCAACCGTCCATGGTATATCGCCAATTTTGTCGCAACCCTAAAACTGCTTTGCGGGGAAGCCATCTCACCGCGCCTTTACATTTCGTAACAATAATATATATATATATATATATTAGTATCCTGTTTGGTTGTTTTGTTTGTGGCAATAACTCACTTATTATTATCACAATGCATGTATGAATGCATTGCTTACTATTTACCATCATTTTTTCCTTATGTTCTGCAGTTTAAAATCCACTGTTTCATTTTTAAATAAAAATTTAAAGGTGAATTAGTCTTTCCTTAAGCTCTCTTTTCTGGTCAGTTTTTTTATCTCAATAATATTCATATTTCATTGTTTAATTTCTAAATGACAATTGCTAACAAGGAGAGAACTATATTCTTTGGTAGATGTACATGCTTTCTAGTATATTTAGTATTCTCAGCTTAGACTGACTGCTAACATAGTCATGTGTTGATGGATAGATGGAAAATCGTGCTGCCGATTTTGGTTGTTTATGCTTAAAACCAGATAGGAAAGAGGTGAAAATATTGTTGCAGATGATTTCAAAACAGTCTGGATTGAGTAATTAGAAGGCCTGCATTTTACCTGAGGGACATTTTTTGCCCATCCCTGCTATACAGTATCGTAGTAAATTTTTGTAAATATTTTCATCTATTTCATTATAATTTTGATAGTGTTATTTATATTATTTTAGTTATTTGCTTGTTTATTCGCTGCATTTTATGTTATACAGTCAAAAGTCGTTAATTCGGACACCCATAATCCGGAATGATCTATAATCCGGACCTCAAAGTACAAACTTTCTGCGCATGCGTCGCGTTCACGCATGCGCACGGCGTTTACGAGAGCGCGTAAGACCCTTAGGCTGCGAATATGTTGTGCGCAAGCGCGTTTGTGTAACGGAGTTATACGCTAGCTAAAGTTATCTAATTCAGTAATGCTGCAGATTGCGTTGTTCCTTAATTTCGAAGTGGATCCGGCTTATTATTTTTTGGCTTATTACAATTTATAAAAGAAGCTTGAACTTTCGATTATGTCAAAAGAATTTCCGAGATATTTACTACAAAGCGAAAGTATGTTTTGAAATCCGAATCTGTTTATCAATTCACGCTGCTCTGAGGCAGAGGGGGGGGGCAGAAAACGTCATTATTAGATTATGATAGATTAGAAAGATTATGCCAAAAGAATTCCAATATATATTACTAATATGATTTGTATCGACAAAGGCGAAAGTATGTTTTGAAATCCGAAATCTGTTTATCAATTTCACGCCGCGGATTGGAAGTTGATCTGTCAACACTATCGGTATCTCTCAGAGCAGATGTTTTTTATTGGATTATAATTCCGTACTAAGTTTAGTATTTTCTCGATGTACTCCGTCTTTGATATGATTTAAATCAAGTTCCTCGTCATTATAATTCGCTTCCGATAGGAAGAAAGGACCCAGAGGTTATTGAAACGAAAACATTTCGATTGACAATTAGTCGGTATTCTCAACAGCAATTATACAACTTTGTCTGTTAATAGCAATAAAAGAGAAAGTATATACATGAAACGAAGCACTTACATTGAAGGAAATGTTTAATAAAGTAAACAACTAAATATTAAGTTTTTCTTTTTGTAATTTTGATACCCTTAGATCATAATGGTTCTTTATTTCACAAATTACGGTTCATATTTTTAATTTGTAAATTTGCATGCCATTTACCAGATTTAAACTGATGATCTATAATCCGGAAAAATCGATAATCCGGAATCGCCGAAGTCCCGACGAGTCCGGATTAACGACTTTTGACTGTAGTTTTATTCTGTATTTATGTTTATTTGAATTAGTATTCACTTATTTATGTCTGTAAGTATTTGCTCTGAATCAATCAGTGTTTACAATTTTTGGCACCTCCATTAAATCTGGAGTACAAACAGAAAACTTTCTTAGAGGCTGTATGGCAATTTCTCACCAACTTGGCAAAATTTTGAAAGTTTCTGAAAAATGCATTTTAAAAATCTCCTAAGAGTGATTTTTCTTTCAAAGCTTTCATATTTTTTCTATCTCCATATATGTATATAATCATATTGGTTGTGTCGGAGGAGTGTCAGTCAGTTGAGTTATTTGGAAACGTATGATTATGCTGAAGATGGTGATCACAATTTTGCCCTGCAAGTGATTCTGATGACCTGTGACATCCTTGCATGCTAAAGGTAATTTGCCTTACCTCTTTTTTTTTATTCCATATTTACAACGATTTATCTTACTATATGAGATGTTATCTATTTCAGTAAAGTATCAACTTCTTTTTCTCATCTGATGCAGACATGAAGATTTCTACGAACTGTAATGTGCAGCAATATACCTGCTTCTAACACAAAAACAGACATTTACATTTACTGAATATGAGAGCTTTAGCATAAAATTTTTTTGATATCATTTTTTGATAACTACTGCACTTATATCTATCGGTAAATGAAATTAAAAAAATATAACTTTTCTGTACTCTACCCGACGTACTAGAGCTGCGCGAATCACCCGAAGACGTGGAGTTCTCGTTACATTCATAGAACTCATCATCATCACTCTCACTCAAGGGCGCAGGAGATCCAGCTGAGGTCTTGCTTTCTTCCAGGACAGAGTGCACACTGCTGCGTAATTGATGCCACTCTCGACTCTTCTTCCGCTCGATACAGCAATTCAACATCTGAAGAACAGAAAAAAAAAAAAAAAAAAAAACAGTCAAGCGGCATGCAAAATGATTATTTTTGTACAGTCCATAGTACAAAACATGTGGTGTTAGAAACATCTTTCATTAATTACGGTTAAAATGGAAGTATTTAAAATAATTATTATCGATTTTTCCGGATTATAGATCATCGTTAAATCTCGGAGATGGCCATGCAGATTCTAAAATTAAAAGATGAAACCATATTTTGAAATAAGAACATATGATTAAGGGTACAAAATTACAAAAAAAAAAAAAAAAGCTGCTATTTTTTCTTACTTTATTAAACATTTCTTTCAAGTAAGTGTTAAATTGCTTCGTTTTATGTGATAATATCTCTTTATTCTATAACAGAATAATTTCTTGTCAGTTAAAGTTCCGGTTCAAGTCCCGTAATGCTGCCGCGAATACCGACTAACTGTCAATCGAAATTTTTCGTTTCACTAACCTCTGTCACCTCTTCAATCTTTATCCATTTTTTGCAGCCATCCACTTTTTGTTGACGGACATCGAACATACTTTCGGTTTGTAGATCCTTTGGAGCCGCATCGGAAAATCATTTCCATAATCGAAAGTTCAAGTTTTTTTATAAAATTGCTCTACTGTCTGCAAAAAATAAAAGCCGCATCCAATCGACGATAAGGAGCAACCAATCATCAACATTAACTGAAAAGATAATTAGATAATTTTAGCTATACCGTCCGTTATATATTAAACGCGCACGCGAAAACGTATTCTGCGCTTTCGCACACGCCTATGCGCAGTCGTAAAGGTCTTACGCGCACGCGTAAACGCCTATGCGCATGTGCAGAAAGTTTCTATCTTTGAGGTCCGGATTATAGATCATTCCGGATTATGGGTGTCCGAATTAACGACTTTTGACTGTATTAGTTATATATAAGTCCAAATGAATGCCCAATTTCATAGGTGCAGTACGCAAAATGTAATAAATATATTCATTAAAAAAGTACAAACATGCAGAGGTAATATAAGCAAGTTTTGAATAGTCACCAATAGATAGCGCTGGAAGTCCAATCGTCATCAGCGTTTCTGCTAAAACATAACGGCCAGAAAAACGTCTTCGTAAAATGGCGACGCAACATCAGAAAGTGTTTTGGGTGCTTGATTTTCATGCTAGGAAGTCTACTTTCAGGACCAGTTATGAACAAAATACGGACAGACAGCTTGGATCATATCATATAGGGCAATCCATCATTGGTACGCAAAATTTCAAGGGACAGGCTGCATTTGTAAAGGAAAATCAATAGGTTGTCCTTCAGTAGGAGAAGTAGTAGTTGAGCGTATTGAAGCCAGCTATGTGAGAAGCTCTCAAAAATCGACATATCAAGCTGGAGGAGAATTAGGAGCAGCCCAGAAAACTGTGCAGAGAGTTCTTAGGAGGCCTTTCTCGATAGAATGTTACGTATTGACATACACTTTTTTTTATATTCGCTAAATTATTTTTTGTTTAAATTGTGAAGACATTAGGTTATTTTGAAGCAGGAGACATGGAAAATGAGCAATTCCCTCTCCGGGACTCGAACCCTGAACCTCTCGAATACACGCCGAGTGTACTACCGTTACACCACGAAGGCATGCAGAAATAGAGGGAGAACATATCTCATAAAGCACATAATCTTTCTTTTAAAAGTGCTTGGAAATATTAAGTCAAAATATCAGGTGTGCTGGCTCTGAACTGTAGTTATAAAGACACTTTTGTACGCATTGCCTGCTTATAGTAAAAACAGCGCCACTGTAATACTACTCCGGCCACCAGACATGAAAATAACATTTTTTTAGATTTTTAATTTAAGACATTTTTTAATTTGAATGTGTAAAAAGGGAAAGACCATTTGGCAAACAACAACAAAAGCATAATTTTATTAAATGATAAAGTAGGCATAAATTTTTACAGGGAAAAGAAATAACTATGTTTTTCCTACCTGCGCATATTTTAATGAAGTTAATTGTTAAGAATTCACCATTTTAGCACAACTTACTATTAACAATATATTAAGCATATGCATTATATGCATATATTATTAGTTAACATATTAAGCATATGCAGTAATTTAATAAGAATTCCTCATTTAAAATTATAATTTACTTTTATTTATTTATTCTGCATGATTTAACATTTCTAATTATAAAGCTATTATTTTGAACAATTTCATGGGTTTCACGTTTCACAGCGCAAGAAAATAAGCTTGTGACAAATATAAGATGAAGACTTATAAAGCAGAATACGAAATTTTGGATCGTAATTCTTTCCGCTGCAAATGGAAAATATACACTATTCTTCACATATGTATCCATCTGTGAAAGTCAAAATAACGTCGTACAATTTCTTTCTTTCTTTTTTTTTTTAATGTTGAACACATTGATGCACCTTCAATAAGCTCAGTTGTTAGTTTTAGTCGGGCAACCTTCATAAAGGTATCGGCACCGTCATGAACCATGATTTTACTTTGTGAAGTAGAGTTTTAATTTACACTATTGATTAATTAAATAAAAGATGAATTAAAATCGCGCTACTTTGATGTCAAATCATTGCACTTGCATGACACTACACAAGTGCTGTAACGTTACATTTATTATGTACACTGTTGTTATGTACATTCTGATCTAACGGTTTACTAATATTATTAAAGTAAAAACAATTTATTAATACTAACAGTTTCACTATTGAAACGATATTCTACTATTTTGAAAAAGAGCAGAATTCATCATAAGTAACTCTAACCTCATATTTCGTTAAAAATTTTTGTAACTTATTACTTAAAAACTTTATCTACACAACACCACTGAAAAATTACATTTCATCGGCTTATAGGCTTGTTTTGATCTCACGAACATGGTCCCCATTTGTTACATGGGTTTCATTTTCAGGTAATGTTTGGTTTATGTGATTATGGCAAAGCCTCGAGGGCTATCTGCCTAAGGGCAGGGATAGCTTTCGTGGAGGACTTTCTAAGGAACTGATTCGCATACACATTACACATGGAGTAAACCACGAAAATGCCCATGCAGCCAGCTCGTTCTCGGGATTCGAACCTCGGACCAAACCACTCATGTTCAGTGACTTTCCTACTCGGCCTGGTGGGCCTTCAGGTGATGGAAATTTCGAATTCACTTCTAATTTTTCATCCATCCACCATAGTTCTTGGTTTAGAGCCAAAGAGTGTTTACAGTCATTTTTGTTTAGTTTGTTTGCCCTTCATGAAAAATCAAGTCACTCTGCCAACTAAAAAATATCTCCTTTTTACTTTTACATACATCGTGCTAATAGTCAAAGGACCATGAGTAATTTTTCTTACTAAAATTTGATCTATTACTTAATTTCATTCGAAAAATTATTACAAAATGTTACGAAAAATATAATGAAAAGATTAATTCTTATGGGTTTGCTGAAATATCTCTCATATGAAAAAGGCCATGAACATTTTAAGATTTGCAGACCTTGATTTAAAGTATTTTAATGGAAGATAGAATTATGAAATGATGATTTCCTTACCTGCAACTTTTGATGCAAAAGGCAGTAATTCATGTTAGGTGGACCCGGCTCCAAACTGAAAAGAGAAAAACTATAATTTAACTATGCGAGTCAAAAAATAAGTAAATAAAACAAAATTAAAAATAGTAGATACAAAATATAACTGAAAAAGAAACAAGCCAATTTCAAATTCAGCGAAAAACAACCTTAGACTGGTGTAGATTTTGAATAAATTTCTGTTATTTCGAAAGCAATCAGACATACTCTATTCTTCAGAACTCAGAACTAAAAAATATTTTACAAAGGTAGAATAATTGTTTTAAACATATATAAATTAACGGAGCACAGCCAAAAACGAGATTAGCGTCCTTTGTCGAAGAAAATAGTAATGAATAATAATAATAATAATAATAATAATAATAATAAAATAAAATAAAAAAATAAATAAATAAATAAATAAATTATTAGAATTTTTATAGCATAAGGAAGAAATGGATGCCCTCGAAGATTTTCACATTCATAAAAAATACCGTTCATACTTTATGACATTAAACCCAATCCAATTGTTTGCAAGATGTTAAAATTCTAATACGTTAGCTTTTTCCCATTTTATTACTATTCTTTTCGACAGATGGCGCAACACTCGTTTTCACTTTGCGCTGCGCATTTATTTCCATACAAAACGATCATTCCTTCCAATTTGGAGCAATTGCTTCTAAAGACGAAACACCTATATATCTTATGCCTTCGAAAGAGAGAAGTTAAAATACAATGAAAGCCCATCACTTCCTGAGAAGAATATACCTAAAAGCGACTAATACTGATTTTTAGAGGTTTTCCTGCCTGTTTTTGCTTATTCAGAACATAAGCAAACATTGTTCTCTCTAAGACGGTCGTTTCCACTGCTTTTGAGACAGTTTACTGTATCATAAAGTCATATAACCATTTTGCTCTACATGGAACGGCGATTTATTAAGTTATTAACTAAAAAAATTTAAGGTCTGTTAGGCTAAAACTTAATACACAATGCATGGAAATAAAATTGGTGGGTGCAAAAAAGAAATAATCAATCAAAATTAGTCTCAAAAAGGTTAAAAAAACAGAGGACAGTGAGCAAAACAATAGCATCTAAAAAAAACATATAGCATCAGAGCATCTACAATGAATAACATTAACATAAGAATGCATAACGTTAGTAAACCACACTTTGTTAGACACCTCATGCTGTAAAACATTGTTTGTACAGCAAAATAATTTTAATAAAAATTGATGCCCCTTAGAATTACATAGATATAATAATATCGTTTGCCTCAGTAGTAAACTCCATTGATCTTTGTATGCCAGTATGATAAACTGGAGCTGTGAATAATAATCTTCAGTTATTAAAACAGATTGTACTGAAGAATTCTCTAATTGTGAAAGTAATTGAACGTTCCCAACACAACCATTAATATTCACCTCTTCATTTAGTTTCCACATTTACTTCATACATTCACTTTGAAGACACAACAGTCAGATTCTGGAAACTTTTCATGTTCTGTTACAGCCCGAGTCAAATAAAATTCCTACCACAAACGAGATTTCGACTTCATAAAGTGTTCTAAATATGCAGCTAGTTTGAACAGAAATTTTGAACTGAAGTAAATATAACACTTGCTTTCCTTTCTTTATTTTTCTGCATGCATAATAAACAAAAATGCTTTACATAATCATCCTTTTGTTCGCTGAATCACCTCACGTGGGTAATAGTAACATGCGCGGAGAAACTAGAGCAGCAAGAAAAAATACGAGTACAATCGTGACCTAACAGAGCCCTTGAAATGGGAAGTAACAAAAACTTTCCATGACTATTAATTTTTTTCTGCACAAAGAACCAACACCCACTCGGTGTATGGCAAAATAAGCAGGGTATTATGCAGCACAGGCCTTCGTCTCTTCAGCCATCACTTTGATAACTGGTCGATCCGCTTATTAAAATATTTCGATTTTTTATTTATATAACTTGAGTCATTTCCCCCGTCTCTATAAAGTCTCTAGTACTGTTACAACACTGGGCTTGCACTTTTATTGTGTTAATATTTCCTTTTTAATTAAAATTATCTCAAAAACTAGTCATCCACTAGTTTCGACAAGATGTGACACAACGCTAATTCTCTTCCTGAATACAGTAAGACCCCGCTTAACGCGGGGGATACGTTCCATCGAAGTAGAGCGTAATGCGAAACAGCGCTAAGCGAGGCTATCTTAACATGTAAATAATGGGGTTAGGGGAAGACAGATAAAAAATGGTTAGGCAATAAATTTAATAATGTTTTTTTTAATAAAAATAAAATCAAACATTTATTTCTTACAAAAATAAAAACAATATAAACGCATATACTTTTAAAAACAAATAAAATTCTCAGTCAGATCATTCAGTCTATTCTGGGTTTCAATTTTCTGCCTTTTTGTTAAGAAGGCATTATGATAGATTGGCTTAATGGCATATTGCGTTCAATTTCGTCGTCAATCCATATAGACAGTCGTTTTCTTATTTCCTCTATAATGTTATTTCTAGAACGGGTAATTTTAGTTGCAGAGCTTGACGTAGTTGCAGTTGCCGATGACAGTATTTTTTCTTTATTCTTAAGAATTGTCCTTATTGTTGAAGTTTCTAAAATCAATGCAGCACTGATTTGAGATTGACGTTCACCAGAATCTAATCTTCTAATCACTTGCATTTGAGTTTCCAGTGAAATGCTTTTTCTGGTTGCTTTCTTTTCTTGTTTTTTTTATTATCACCCATGATAAAAACTAAAGATCATAATATTTGTCACTGTATTAATCGTTATAGTATTATACAAATTTAAACTTACAATAATTTCAACAAATGTTTCAAATGATAAAAATGCGTCCACCAAGCAAGAAACACAACTACACTGTTTCGGATATGTTATTTGGAAACCTAGCGCTGCGCACAATTTCGGAGAATCCCCGGGTTGAAATAAAAGAGCGCTAAACCGCAACAGCGCTAAACGAAACAGCGTTAAGCGGGGTCTTACTGTACACATGATCTAGATGGTATCCTGAGCAAACTTGAATGTGAAGACTACATTTTAAGGAATGAAATGTTTCCCTTTCTTAACCTTATTTCACATGCGTTTACAATATTCTGTTAATAACAGGATGTAGTCTCCTAAATACACGTAATTGCTTTCCACCGATTATTCCATGATTACATGACTAATTTAATCTCTTTCAAAATTGCTATATTCATATCATGAAAATTCATAACCAGTTATACTTTCTTTTTCGTAAAAGAAAAATACTGAAATTACTTTTTATAGAACATTTTTTTGGAAAATATCTCGAGAACCGAAGAATGCAGAAGCTTTGCTTTTTCTGAAGGAAAAACTCAGTGTTTTTGTCTAGCTTTTCAACCAGTTAAGGGTTTGTTTCTGGAACCCCTCTTTTTCAGTAGTCCCGAAAATGTTGAAATAAATAGATATTTCATTGAATACGCTTTACACAAACGGTCCAACCACTTTATACCTTGGATCTTTTTCTTTGGATATTCTACTTATTCGGTATTTCTCCCACCTTCTTAGCATACCTTCATGGTCAGCACACTCGGCGCGTATTCCGAGGTTCGAGTATTGGCGGAAGCCTTGCTCATTTTTCAAGTCTCCTGCTTCCTAAATAACCTAATGACTCTACAGTGGAGCTCTAACTAAAAAAAAAAAAAAAAAAAAAAAGCGGTGGATAATGATCCTTCACTACCAGGATTTGGACAAAGGAACAAGGCGATGGATTCCGGAGTACCTTTGCTGAAAACAGCAATAACCTCCACAACTTCGTTAAGAAATAATGAATAATTAAGAATTGAGTATGGCTAAAGTGAGGAACGAGAACCGTTAAGGGTTAAAGGGTACGGGAGATCGATAAGGACCAGGATTTGGTGATTGAATTCTCTAATCCCCAGTCACCTTTTAAAAACGGGGGAGTATATAAGATATTTCTCCCGCCTTCTTAAGCATGCCTTCGTGGTGTAATGGTCAGCACACTCGGCGCGTATTCGCGAGGTTCGAGTGCCGGGAAGGGCATTGCTCATTTTTCATGTACTCCTGTTTCTAAATAATCCAATGTCTTTACAAACAGTCCAGATATATTTCAACATGCATGTGCACGAGAAAGTAATTATTGCTTTGCTTCTTGTGAGTTCTCGTAATGCAAGTGGTTAGTAGGTTCACCTGGCAACTATGATTCATAGTTCGAATCCCGGAGAAAGCACAATAGATTTTTCGTTTCCTGGTTTAAAATATCTAATGGACTTTAAAAAGGCGCCGGAACTAATATGTTGTGGACAACAATTCAACACCAGGATATGGTCGACTGGATCTCGTGTTTTTTCACAATCGTCTTTTAAGAAGGGTATGTGAGGAATTATTGCAATTCCCCTACGTGTGCTCCTCTAGTGTTAATGGCTACTCATGCACAAAAAACAAGGGATGAAATCATGGCTCGAACTCCGCTGACAGCACAGTGGATTTTTCTTATTTCTACGGCTGAAATGTCTAATTGTCTTTACACATGTACTTAACGATGTTACGGCAAATACCAGTGGGTGTATATTTGCAAGAGATATTATGCAAATTATGAATAAGTAGAATATTGGTATCGAGATATAGCAAAACAAAAAATCATATTGAAAACAGATATGATTGAAGTAAACTTATAAATTTAAGATGAATTTTGATAATATAAAGAAAATTTGAATAATAATAATTGAAAGTAAAACTTATAAAGATTAAAACTCAGGAAAGAACACAATGGAAACGATACCTATATATACTGATTTCACCGAAAGTGTTTGAGACGCATGTACCTGTTTCACGTGTTGTGATTTCTTTTATAACCTTTCATATTCTTTTTATAATTAAAAAAAAAAAAAAAAAATTCTTTTGAGTTTTGTATGTTCGTTTTGAGTAATTGTATGATGCGAACTTATTACCAGATGTTTATTAAGTTTATTATATTCCGTTATTTAACCATTTATTTTGTTATGTTTCTTTATTTAACATTCGTTTGTTGTGGAATCAGCCTGTCCCCTCACAGCCATATGGCAGGCTTCGCCTGCTAGGTGACCTGGGGCCTAGTGTTTAGAACTAACTAACTGACTAACCGTTGGGTGTATATAAATGGCTGAGCAATTCGAGTACTAATAATATACATTTAATAAATATAATAGTTAGCAATTCCTATATAGTTATAGCTTACAGAAAATTGAGACAACTCAACTTATTTGTCAGTGATAATAATCAGTAATTTTTATGATTAATAATACCTATTTATGAATAAGAAAATCTAGTACACAGGTATGGTATTTCAACATACCCTACCTCAGAAACACTTCGAAATCTGAGACATGGACTTTCAGATAAAAGATTAAGAAAAGAGAATACTAGTGTTTCTCTATTCTATCGTTTTGGAGAAAAACCACAGAAAAAGGGGCTTTTCAGATGTTTCAGTACAGGTGTCCGCCGATAACATCGCGGCAAAAACATCGTGGACGAAAACGTCGCGGAGAAAACAACGCAAGGCGAAAACGTCGTGCTACAAAACATCGTGGGAGAAAACATCGCAAAGAGAAAACATCGCAGTTCTAAAACATCGTGGTACAAAACATCGTCGTAGAAAATAAAGCGGTTCAAAAACATCGCAGTTTAAAAACATCGTCGTCGAAAATATCGGTGTAAAAAATAAAGTATCTAGAAATCATCGCATGACGATAACATCGCAGGCATACTTTTTTCAGGTTTTCATAATTGTAAATGGATATTCCGATAATGATTTGTGAGCGCAAGATGTAAAGAAGGATAATTTTTACTTTCACATTTTTTTATTAACTAACAAAATTTTTTCTGAAAAAGTAAGAAGGAAACTTAAGCATAGAAAATTAAATGCATCTTATAGATTATAATTTTCATGAAAATTACCAGTAAGAACTTTATAAAAAATAATTTATTAATGGCCTTTGTTAGTTAAGTTAACTATGTCGGTTTAAAATTCTATTAAGTGCTATAAGTTGCATTAATTTTTTATGCTTAAGTTTCCTTTTTATTTTCTCAGCAAAAATTTATTAATTAATAAAAAATATGAAAGTAAAAATTATCCTTCTTTCCATCTTGCGCTCACAAATCATTATGGGAATATCCATTTACACTTATTAAAGCATGCCTGAAAAAAGCATGTCTGCGATGTTATCGTCATGCGATGATTTGTAGATACTTTATTTTTTACCGCGATATTTTCGACGACGATGTTTTTCAACTGCGATGTTTTTGAACCGCTTTATTTTCGACGACGATGTTTTGTACCACGATGTTTTAGAACTGCGATGTTTTCTCTTTGCGATGTTTTCTCCCACGATGTTTTGTAGCACGACGTTTTCGCCTTGCGTTGTTTTCTCCGCGACATTTTCGTCTGCGATGTTTTTGGCTGTAACCATCGGCCTTACA